TGCCGATCGCACCATTTTGGGAGCATGTCTCATCTATGGTATTATGTTTGCCTCTATCTTCTGCTGGGACACCTATTACGGCTCTTACTTGCAGGTTGTTCACTTTGAGAGTGTCACTACTTCTGGTTATATCCTCAACTCGTTCTCTCTAATGGCTGCTTTCGTTGGACCCTTCGTTGGTATCGCCATCCGATACCTGGGACGCTTCAAGTGGCCTTCTTTCGTCGGTGTGCCTTTCTTGGTTCTCGGTACCGCCCTTCTCATTCACTTCCGTCACCCTGAGACTGCTGTCAACTGGCTAGTCATGTGCCAGCTTTTCAACGGTATCTACAGTGGTATCTGGTCCTTGACTGCCCGTATCGCAGTCATGTCTTCCGTCAAGCATCAGGATGTCGCCGTCGCTCTGGCCATCTGGGGTATGTTCGGTGGTATCGGTTCCTCTATCGGTGTGGCCATTGCTGGTGGCATCTGGACAAACATGCTACCCACCGAGCTTGCCAAGCAGCTCCCCGAGTCTGCCAAGAACATGACTGCTACCATCTATGGCGACATCAACGTCCAACTGTCTTACCCCGCTGGTAGCCCTGAGCGAGACGCTATCATTGCTGCTTATGACTATGTGCAGCAAAAGATGATCTACGCTGGTTGCGCGTTCATCCCTCTCTGCGTCGTCTGCCTCTTCATGTGGAGGAACATCGACATTAAGGAGAAGGATGCTCAAAGCAAGCAGGCCAAGGGCATGGTCTTTTAAGAATTCTTCGAGACAGACCCACGAAAAATATCCCATGAAAAGGGGCAGGGATATTATGAGTTTCCAGGTAAAGATTAATGAATCGATATAATACAAAAGTTCCATTCGCTTTATAGACATCTCAGTTAGACTTCATTCAATACAATGCAGTCGTCTTATTGCTTTAATGAATGCTCGAACTTGCATCAATATGATATCATGAATGATTCTGGAAACTGCATTAATCCTGATCTACAGTCTCTTCAGGGAGATCCTTAATTTGGCGATGGCATCAGTCCGATGTGCAGGATGAGAGCACGGCAGATGGGTTTTATGATTCCCAGGAGCACTTTGAGCAATAAGTCGTTAATTGGAGATCGTCCCGTTCAGTAAGAGTTTAATTCCATTTGGCGACGATCTTACTCGTTCTGGATTGTCGATTGAATTCGCTGAACATCGTGCTTTTCTTCTTACGTTTGGCCTGGCGCCGACACCATGAAGCCGGGATTCAGTAGCATAGGCTTGCCACGAGGTCAAAGATATATGATAAGTTTGTTAAGTTATCTAACAGTCATTAATCGCTCGACTTCCTGGTAGGAAGGATGAACTTCCTTCTCTTTCTTACACTCTATGCACCATATCATTACAGCTTAGCTCCCTTCTCCTTGCGGGCCTGCTTCTCCTTGTCTCTCAATAGACGTCGAAGGATCTTGCCACTAGGGCTCTTGGGAATGATCTCGATAAACTCGATGCCGCCCTTGAGCCACTTGTGGCGCGCCTTGTGCTCTTCGACGTGCTTGTTGATGCTTTTTGTGATCTCCTCGTCGGGTTTGCCCTTGGCTTCGGGTGCTTTGACAACGAAGGCCTTGGGGACTTCGCCAGCTCGGTCATCAGGGACTTGAATAACGGCACAGTCGTCGACAAGAGGATGGGCGAGAAGATGAGCTTCGAGCTCAGCTGGTGCGACTTGGTGGCCCTAAGAGTATGTAAGTAGGTGAGCAAGGGCGTCAAAGATGTGAGATTTACCTTGACTTTAATAAGCTCCTTGATTCGGTCCACGATGACAAGATGTTCAATGCCCTTGGGTGACTTGCGAATGATAACCTCGTCACCTGTTCGCATCCAGCGTCCGTCGCTGTGGTTTACAAAGGTCTCAGCTGTGGCCTTTGCATTGTTGAGATATCCCAGAACAACACTGGGGCCTTGAACGTAGAGTTCACCAGGGGTGTTGTATTCCGTAACCTCTTTGCCTTCAGCATCGATGACCTTGGCCTTGATGCCAGGAAGAAGGGATCCAGAGGAGCCGGGATCGATGTCGAGCTCGGTAGTTGATGAGACCACGGGTGACGTTTCAGTGAGACCTACAAAGTTAGTGACGAGACATCATGCGTGATTGAAGGGGGCTTACCGTAGCCTTGACAGATATTCCACTTGGGCCAGATTTCATTCAAGCCAAAGATTGTTTCCTTTCCAAGGGGAGCGGCACCGCTGAAGATGAAGCGGACAGAGCTGAGGTCGTACTTTTGGCACTCAGCCTTGTGACTCAGCATTTGGACCATGATGGGAGGGACCAGGGCCATTTGCTCGATCTTGAAGCGTTGAACGGTGGCAAGAAACATCTTGAGCTCGAACTTGGGCAAAATGACTGTCTCATCGCCATTGTAGATGCCTTGATACAAGTTAGTTCGGTGAGACGTGGGAAGAGGGTGAGATGACATTACCCCAGTGAGCGACTGGGACGAGGCCGTAAATATGGCTGAGTGGTAAGAGACCAAGCTGAACCTGAGTGTCGACTCCCGCTACTTTTCGGCCCTCTGCGTTTTGGACTGTCATTTGCATAACGTTTGCGATCACATTGACGTGAGTGATCTCAACCGCTTTCTACGATTTATAAGCCCTTCATTCACCTCATCAATATTCAGTGAGACTTACGGGGAGACCTGATGTTCCACTAGAGTAGCATAGATACGCAACTTGCCTCAAACCTTGGCCTTTGATCCAGTTCAGAGGCTTAAGTTCAGGCGCATCCTTACCCTCTGCAATTAGATCATCAATTGACTTGAAAGGTGGCTTGGACTCGAAGCCGGGCACGGGTAGAAGAAAGACACGATCCTCAGGGATACCGACAGCCTTCGCGGCAGTGAGAGCAGTCTCGAGAAGAGGAACACAAGTGAAGAGGGCGTTTGCGCCGGATGAGCGGAGCTGATGCTCGAGTTCTGGGGCAGAATATGCGGCACTGGCGGGTGTGACGATTCCGTTCAGACGATGAACAGCATGGGTCATGGTAATGTAGTCGATCTTATACGTTAGTTGGAATTTTGTGTGACTGAGCTCAAACGTACAGTGTTGACTGAGAAGAGCGCCACTACTCTATCCCACTCTGTTCCATCGTGGACATCATAGCCAAGGCGTTTTGCAAGAGCACGCGCGAGAAGTTTCTCACGCTGGATGACCTCTTCTGTGGTGTACGTCTTACCAGAGATACCGCATGTGAAGGGATTTCTGGACTGAGCAATAGGTTTGCGAGCGTGCTTATCGCTGAAGATGAAGTCCGGGATGGTGATTGACTCGGGAGGTTCTAAGGAATGTGAGCAGAGAAGCTGAAACCGACGACAGGGTGAGTTTACCGAAAGGCAAGCTAACCGAGGGAGGAGGATAGAAGACCATCTTGGATAGGGATTAGAGGAGGGTATTCAAGGGGAAGAGGGAAGAGAAGAGAATGAGGAGAATAGAGGAGAGGAAATGGGAAAAAAAGATGAGGAGCTGAATATGTACTACGTAGTTGGTTCCCTGCTTCTCTCTTCTCCTTGTCGCTTCGGGGCCTCCTCCAAATCTGGGGAAGACCCAATTTAGCGCGGTTTGATTCCCACTATCTCCGCATTACACCAATCTTGGCCCTATTAGCTGCGATATCAAGACCTCGGTGCCAGCCGAGGTATAGGAAATAGGGTCGTTGCCATAGGGTTACGTAGATCATGGTTTTGGGGTCAAAGCTGAAGTCGAGGTGCATGTGACTAAAAAAATTAAGGTTGGCATTATTTCTTGGTATTTGGTATTTTGAGCTTAGTAGCTTCTGTATGTCTTCTATCGTTGCAGGAATTGGGGTAGAGGAAGTGGACCGTATCTTTGATGCCTCGGTATGTGGCTTGCATCGAATTCCGCCCTAGTTCCGCCATGTCAACGTCCTCCGTCTCGATAAGGAGCGTTGTCCCTCGATGAGAATTCATGTATAACCATAGACTACGACTCTATTCACGGTGCTATGGAGAGGGAAGAAGCTGCATTGTACTACGTGAGCAACTTATATCGCTAACTTTCCGATCGAAAGTCAAATTAAGCTCAAGTAAGCTTACCGTTGCACGTTTCTACCCGCGCTGACATCCACCAGTCAGGATGAACTCAGATTGCCTAAAAAGGCAGAGAGAATGTTGCCAGATACCGAAATTACTCATCAAGAGCAACTACACACTTGATTCTGGCTACTGGTTAGAGACTAACATATACTGCTTTTCGTATGTTGGTGAAATTGACTTCAGCGCCCTGGTTCTGTTGCTTCTCGCCATAACGACTTCACCCACTGGAACCAACAATTCTCTTAACTTGTAATCCGATCAGAGTTGAATTTTTCGCCTTTTGCTCACCGCCAACAGCTATCACCCATCAGATTTACGAAACGGGGGCACGATGTAACTCTCTGAGTCAGAAATCTCGCACCTCCCTGGCGATGCACGACAGCCTTGTGAGAGCTTCAAGAGAGATGTCATTCATCGACCTTCGCGATTCTGCATTCTACAGCAGAGCGCCGATGTTTCTCAAGAAAAAGACTCAATAGACTCCCGCGATTGAGATTACACAGACACGACCATTTCTTGATGGATACAGAGTGTCTCCCGAGATATCCGAAGTCTTCCTCCCGCGTTGCGCAAGATGTGGCTGTCAGCTGTTGCGGCACCACGAGCAAAGCACGTTGATCCAACACGACGGGTGCACAAAAAGTCTACATCGAGGGAAGAAATTCTCCGAAAGTATCTCCCGATCGTGAAGCCATGACATGCTGTGCTCCCTTTCTACTGAACACAGCATACACGCGATGAGGCCCAGTACAGCTGAAGCAATTTCCAAGTCACGCAATTCATGGGTACAAGGTGAGATAATGCAAAGACCAAACGCCGCCGTATGCTTCATGCTACGCATACCCTAAATGCGGTCTATCAATTACAATCGTCATGTCCAAGAGATGTCATTAAAGTATGTACAACCATATCCCCGTCTATAGCAAGTTGACTCCGAGAGCAAACCCGCCAATGACAGCAAACACCCAGCTGAGGGGTGTAGGCTGCCATGCGGCATTGTCATCGTCATCACCGCCACTACCGGCTCCGGCAGTGACTGTGACGGTTGGTCGACCGCTGAAGGTCTGTGTCGTCACGACGCCTGTGGCACAGTCGCGTTCGAAGTCGGGACATGAGGTGATGGTGTAAGTGGTGGTGTACGCAGAGGTAGGGAACGAGCCGCCTGTGCCAGTAGCAGTAGCCGCCTATCAAGGTTGTCAGTTAAATCACGCAGGAGTACGAGGTGTTATGACTTACACGTCCAGTAGCTGTGATATCAGAACTCTTGCACTTGCCAGTCTCACTGGGCACAGCGTCAGAGCCAGATCCAACAGCAACAATGTCCTCATCACCACAGTCAGCAGCCTGAGCGAGATGGACCTCCTTGTTATCCCAGTCAAAGACGAAGTATCCGGCTCGCAGAACAGAGTCACCAAGAATCTGCTGGTCGCTGGTAGGTACAAGACCAATGTAGCACGTTCCAGGTCCAAGTTCAAGAATAAAGTCGCTGAAGGCAACTTTGATTATCTTGTCACCGAACCCAAAATCAACCGTGCCATCGAGGTCGCGGTTTTCACAGTCGGTCATGTAAAAGCCCTCACCATCGTTCTGAGCATCGAGAGCCTCCAGAATTGGTCGCGCGACCGACATGTGCATGCGGGTGAGAGTCGTTCCAGAGTCGAGCATAACGTTGGAGTCAGAGCTGGAGACACGAATGTCCTCTGTATCACCGCTAATGGTGACGCCGAGACTATCCAACTCAACGGCGAGACGGTACTCACCACCCTCACCACGAATGATAGGGCGGGTCTCCAGCTTGCCAATATACTTGCTGCGATCAATACCACCGTAGATCAGAGCACCCTCTGTATCATCCGAGTGTCGCAGATCAAGCGCGAACACGCGACTGTTGATAAGTCCCTGGTCCGCCATGGAAGTGAGCAATAAGCTATAAGGCTCATCGCCGTCAAATCCAGCCCTCAAATCAGGCGCAAGACCGAGGATACCCTGTGAGATACCATTGCTCTCAACCAAGACACCGAAAGTCTGGTTTCTCAACTTTGAGTCTCCAAATGTCATGAGATCTGTATAGTATCGAATCGTCGCAGATGTATGCGTCGTTGAGTCGGACGCGTCGCCATAGTTGAGCGTCTCGCCACCAAAAGGACCGATGGGTGGTGTCTTTGACTTTCGAGGGTCGTATTGTCCAAAGTCAAGACATTGGTTGTATTGAGTAGCGGATTGAGCTTCTTCGCAGTCCGGGTTTACCCAGAGTTCGTTGGAGCCGGTATCGAGAAGGACTGTGACTTTTTGAGGAGGAGTACCGATTTCAACTAGAGAGCATTAACAACTGTAGTTGGTTGGTTAGTAGGAACATAGTGACATACTGTCTGTCGCGTAGAAGAAATCTTTGTTCTCGAGTCGGACAGCGATAGCGTCACCGTCTTGACGCTTGTCGTGCTGCTTATCCTTGTTTCGCTCCACGGTACCAACGTGCATCGACAGATAACCTTTACCGGCCTTCGATCTCGGGATGTTAACGGCGTCAACGCTGCCGAGCAGAGCCGCGGCTGTAGTTATCGTGGTCCACCTCATGATGAGCTCTGTGGTGTTGTTTGCAAAAGGCTACAACGGTCTCTGACAACGTCTCCAGGGGAAGAGAAGAGAGGCTGCCTCGTCTTTAAACTAACAACTCCAAGGCCCCCAGTGGCGTTTTCCCTGCCTACCTCACCCCCGGGCTATGCCTTGGTTGGTGGATGTGCTAGGATCTAAAGGGACGGAATTAGCGGGATGTGCTTGGCTGGTGGTCTTGGCTTTTGCTTAGACGATGGGCAATACGGTACGGCTGAAAAGTCCTTGACGTAGGGGTTTTGGACCTGCATAATTGGGCTTTAGGGCGTTGGTTTGCGCATAAGAAGGCTCTGTTGTGTAACGTGTTTCTATTCAGAGCATGTCCTCTATGTAGTAAGTCTCTCTCACTAACTAATAAGACAGCTATTATTCGTCTCTGTCGAACAATGCCCTTCTTTATGTTTGAATCAGAGTGCCAATTCAAGGCTCGCTAGCCCCCCCATGTCTCACGTTACAGGCGTGATCCATTCAGCTTGGCTCATTTATCATGACTCCGCCTCTCTACCTAGCAACCAGGCTAACCCCAACTAAGCAGATCTTCGGTCATTTCCCAATGAGACTCGCCTTCTTCCTGATCACAAGAAAGACGGCAATCGCTGTAGTGCCTTGGCCAGTTGAAGGATGCAGTAAGAGGGCTAGCCTTTCAGCTTAAAAATCAGAAGGGTAGGCGGCTTGCGCGGCTTTTTGTCGTGGATGATGTCTTTGAAGCTCAATCTGGATTAGGGATCTCAGCCTGTGGCGATTTCGTCTTGGCTCTGCGCCTTGTGCCACAGTTGAAAGAACGGCAGCAACGGACATTTGGTGAATGAGAGAGGGAGGCTTGGGAGAAATACGATATGTTACATGCTGCATGCTTATTGTGAGTCGCATAAAGTGAAACTTTGGATGCAAACGAGTGAAGCGATTGGACATGCAATCAAGCTTGACCCTGTTGCTTGTGGAAATTAAGCTCACGGATGCCGATTCTTATGGTTGCAAGAGTTAGATGATCGGAAGTTTATCTACAGTAACGTTCGGTGATCTCCCACCTCATTTCTCAAGCATATCCTAGCCTGCCACTCGACAATCAGAGTTTTTACCCGAATGCACTGGCGTGTGTCGGTTTCACTTTATTTGAGCTGATAGCTCTCAGCCCTGGCGTGGAATCCTCGTTTGCGATGCCGATGTAGGGTAAGACACCATGAGTTCTTTTTTAAGATTGCATTGGTGATGAGCAAGCCATGTACAATAACGTTTGCGCTTGATGATACGCAAGCGATTCGGCTGCAATTCTCAATCGGCGGCCTCGTTGTAATTCGATGTAGCTGCGCGTTCTTGGAGACAGATGGGGGGCTGAAGGAGGCGTACTTAGGACTTTAGTCAACGACTTGATGAGAGTTAAAGACATAAGAATGAGAACAGTTGAAGGATGATCCTCAATATGCTTAATTTTTATCAAGTCAATCTAAGGTAGTCCAAAACCCTTTTATCTAACTGGTAATTTACAGGTCGTTATATTTTACAAAGTCGTGCCGTCTATCCGGTCTCATTTTATTTATGCCTTCAAACCTGTGCCAGACACCAACAGCGCAACGCTGCCCAGCTGTCTTCTCACATCCTCCTTGTTGACATCATGGGTATCCTCGACCTCTCCCCACTGTCCGGTTTGCCAGTCAACTTCAAGACTGGTAGCGGCAGCGGCTTCTTCAACACCAAACTTCTGACCAGGATTCAGATGACCCCTTGCGACTGATCCCTCAGTCCACTCAACAACGAATCGTGCAGCAGCAATGAGACTCTTGCCAGCCAATACGGCACGCTCAAGTCCAGCAATCTCAAAAGCATCGAGACCAGTGATCCAGCCCTGAACAATCTCGCGAACCCCAGGGGCCTGTGACTGAGGCAAGATGGAGTGGCCGTCAAGGACAGGGTTGATGGTGACGCCTGGCCAAACATGTGTTGTCAGGAAAGACACAATCTCCTCGGCTGTGCGCTTCTGTACATCTCGTAGCGACTCTCCAGCTTCATTCTTGCGATCGTGCGCTCCTGCAGGAGGGTTCCAGCAGAGAATGGAATCGGTATCGAGGTATCGTAATAATGTTGTAGCAATGGCATTTCGAACCTCTGAAATTTCACCTCCGGCAGTGTTATCAGCCGCAGCTATGTCGAGAGCTCGGCATGTAAGACTTGTAAGAGGGATCAAATGATGTCTTGTAGCATCTTGGGCAGAAGTCAAAAGATCCCATTCGAGAGCGAGAGCGGAGGCAAGGTCCGGCTTGGTGATGGGAATTCGAACGACCTCCTTTGACACAGGATGTCTCAACGGTCGAGTATCGAGAAAGACTTGAAGAGCACCTGTATCTCATCAGCATACGCTTTGATGGTGGGGTAGAAAGTATTTCGACTAACCGTCAACTTCCTTCACAGAAACGTCCTTCCAGAATCGCTTCTTCAAACCACCGCCTCCCTTTCCAGAACTAGCATTTCGAAGCTCCTTAGCATTCTTGAGCATCTCAGCCTGTCTTCTCCGCCTCGCAACTCGCTGATGGACATTTTCGGCGGGCTGGATCGGCGGCTCAGGTGGCGGGCCGGTGCCGACCACTGGAGCGACATTGGCGGCCTTGACAACGGTCGAGTGAATTGGACGGACAAAGGCCGGGCGCTGGACGAGCCGAGGCGCAATGCGAAGTGGTACTCGGGTTACTGACTTCATTCTGGGCGACAAGTTGGGTCGTTGATTGAGGTTGAGAGAATGGAGCTGGGGGATTTAAAGATGCGACCCGGAAAATTGGGTCCGGCTGGAAGTTCGGTGTGGGTGGATGGATTCAGGGTCGACATGATGTCACCTTTTGAGGATGAGAGCTATGAAAAGAGCCTCAAGAACTTTTTTTTGGCAAGTAAATATGGTAATCATAGTATAAGAGACAGTCTCTAGTAGTAACCCAAGCTATTAGGATATCTTAGAGCATTAATGTAGGTTTAAATGAACATCTGAAAGACTGCGGGTACCTGAAGCTGCAATGCTCCATTCTCCAGCAGCAACCTTACCTAAGGACAGTGGCCATATCAGTGGGACAATGGTATATGAAAACTCCAATTATATGAGAGGTGAAAAGGTAAGAGGCATAAGAGAAAGCTTGACCACCATAAAAGACCAAAGATTCGGCAATTGGAATTCTATCGTCAACTTCCTAGCTGAAGCCAATGCCAAAGTTGACACGAATCCCCGTCCGATAAGGGGCTGATAAGATCACGTGATGCGGCACCACTCATCCCTGAAGCGTAACTGCGACGTGGTGATTCTACCTTAGGAGCGCCTCGACCGCAACCTCAAGTCTCCCTCGACCAAACCTTTCACCTCAACCCAGTTGCCCAACATGAGTTACGGCAAGAAGGACGAAGACGCCGACCTCGGGCTGGTCAAGGTTGACCGAACTCAAGTCTTCCAAGAAGGTCCGTCTCCCACAATCGCCTTGTTCATATTCAACCCCCCACAGTCAAGCTAAATAGTCCAACAGCACGACTCTTCAACAGCTCTCCTATCCAGCCTCGACGATGTCGCATTCTACTCACAAAGATCGCTCTCCTGCTTTACACGGGAGAGAAGTTCCCCACCAACGAAGCTACAACCCTCTTCTTCGGTATCTCGAAGCTCTTCCAGAACAAGGATGCCAGTCTCCGACAGATGGTCCACCTTGTTATCAAGGAGCTTGCCAACTCAGCTGAGGATATTATTATGGTTACCAGCACGATTATGAAGGATACTGGCGGCAGCACCGACGCTATCTACCGACCCAATGCCATCCGCGCCCTCTGCCGTATTATTGATGTAGGTTGCCTTGCGGACAGGTACACCGACACCCCTGGAAGCTGACACTGTAAAGGCCACGACCGTGCAATCGATCGAACGAGTTATGAAGACCGCAATTGTCGATAAGAACCCCTCCGTATCCTCTGCCGCCCTCGTTTCCTCATACCACCTCCTTCCCATCGCCAAGGATGTTGTCCGACGATGGCAGAGTGAGACCCAGGAGGCCGCTGCTTCTAGCAAGTCCTCTGGTGGCTTCTCTCTGGGATTCTCCACCTCAAGCAGCCAAATTCCCATGAACCACTCAACCATGTCGCAATACCACGCTGTCGGACTCCTATATCAGATGCGCATGCACGACCGAATGGCCCTTGTCAAGATGGTTCAGCAATTCGGCGCTGCTGGTGCTCTCAAGAACCCCGCTGCTATCATCATGCTGGTTCGACTTGCTGCACAGCTCGCTGAGGAGGATGCTTCATTGAGGAAGCCCATGATGCAGCTCCTCGACGGCTGGCTGCGACACAAGAGCGAAATGGTCAACTTTGAGGCTGCCAAGGCTATCTGCGACATGCGAGATGTTACCGATGCTGAGGTAGCGCAAGCCGTCCACGTTCTTCAGCTGTTCCTCACCTCTCCCCGCGCTGTTACCAAGTTCGCAGCTCTGCGAATCCTCCACAACTTTGCCAGCTTCAAGCCTACCGCCGTCAACGCCTGCAACCCCGACATCGAGCTTCTCATCTCAAACAGCAACCGATCCATTGCCACTTTCGCCATCACCACGCTCCTTAAGACCGGTAACGAGGCCAGTGTCGACAGGTTAATGAAGCAGATTTCCACCTTCATGTCCGAGATTACCGACGAGTTCAAGATTACAATCGTGGAGGCTATCCGAACCTTGTGCCTCAAGTTTCCCAGCAAGCAGGCTGGTATGCTCACCTTCCTCAGCGGTATCCTCCGCGATGAGGGTGGATACGAGTTCAAGAGGGCAGTTGTGGAGAGCATGTTCGATTTGATCAAGTTCGTCCCTGATTCCAAGGAGGATGCGCTTGCCCACCTCTGCGAGTTCATTGAGGATTGCGAGTTCACTAAGCTGGCTGTCCGAATTCTTCACCTTATCGGCCTTGAGGGTCCCAAGACCGCTCAGCCTACCAAGTATATCCGATATATTTACAACCGAGTGGTTCTTGAGAACGCTATCGTGCGAGCTGCTGCTGTCACTGCCCTTGCCAAGTTCGGTGTTGGCCAGAAGGACCCTGAGGTTAAGAGCAGTGTCCGTGTCCTCCTCACCCGATGCTTGGATGATGTCGATGACGAGGTCCGTGATCGTGCTGCCCTTAACCTGAAGCTCATGAATGAGGAGGATGATGAGATGGCAGCTCGATTCGTCAAGAATGGTAAGCATGAGTTAACGACTGACTGTGGAATACTGCTAATGCGCCAACAGAGAACATGTTCTCTCTTCCCTACTTCGAGCAGCAGCTTGTCCTGTACGTCACATCAGACGACAAGTCAGCTTTCGATAGTCCCTTCGATATTGCCAAGATTCCTGTGGTTACTCGGGAGCAGGCCGACGCTGAAGACCGATCCAAGAAGCTGATTGCCACAGCCCCTACACTCAAGGCTCCCAAGGTTGGCCCCACCAAGCCTACCGGAGCCGAGGCTGTTGCTTCTGCTTCTGCTCAGGCTCAACGGTATGCCCAGGAGCTGCTCGAGATCCCGGAGATGAAGGAGTTCGGCAGTGTCCTCAAGTCTTCGCCTGTTATCGAGCTCACTGAGGCAGAGACTGAGTACGTTGTCAGCTTGGTCAAGCACATCTTCAAGGAGCACATTGTCCTCCAATATGAGGTTAAGAACACCTTGCCCGACACTGTCCTTGAGAACGTCTCCGTTGTCGCTACTCCCGTGGACGAGGAGGAGCTCGAGGAGGTCTTCATCATCCAGGCTGAGAAGCTTGCGACTGATGAGCCCGGCAAGGTCTATGTTGCTTTTAAGAAGGTTGGCGGCGAGGCTTCCCTGCCCATCTCCACCTTCTCCAACGTCCTCAAGTTCACCAGCAAGGAGATCGACCCCTCAACAGGCGAGCCCGAGGATTCCGGTTACGATGATGAGTATGAGGTGGCCGAGTTCGACCTTGCTGGCAGTGACTACGTGATTCCCACATTCGCTGGCAACTTCAGCCACATCTGGGAGCAGGTTGGTGCTTCTGGTGAGGAGGTTACAGAAACCCTCCAATTGAGCGGTATGGAGAGCATTGCGGGTAAGTCGACTGCTGAGTTCACAGAAGACATGATACTAAAAATTCCACAGACGCTACAGATCAACTTACAAAGGCTTTGTCGCTCCAGCCTCTCGAGGGTACCGATGTGCCCGTCAACCAGACCACCCACACACTCAAGCTTCTCGGCAAGACAGTTGGTGGAGGTCGGGTGGTTGCCAACGTACGGATGGCTTACTCATCAAAAACTGGTGTCACGACAAAGATCACGGTGCGAAGCGAAGAGGAGAACGTGGCTGCGCTAGTCATCGCGTCGGTCGCTTAGAGATGAACAACAGAAGCAAAGCGGGCGTTGAAAGGATCATGATGTATCGAAAGCTTTGTCTCGGTTTTAGACATACCGTACAAGTGTGGCAGTAATGTGATTATTTACGATTCGTTTCCTTGTCCTGGAATCACGATTGCCACTTTGCAGCGGGTTAAAAGGCTTGTAAAAGTGATGAGGGGGATTATTCATTGGGTGGTTAGAGGAAAGCGAAGAAGGTATAAGAGCATGTTTTTATCGGAGCATGGTTGTTGGGGCCATGTTATTTGCTGCAAAAAGATGGAATTTACCTAGTCAATTCTGACTCTGTGATATGTGACTTGAAGTGAGGTGTAACAACTGTATACAAGCAAAATACGGGACATGTAGCTTGTCTTGAAGCCATATGCTTCTGAACTCTTGGCTATCATGTTGGTGTAGCCCAGCCTGTCTGAGGTAATGTTTGCAAGTTGTGGTATGGTCTTGATGCTTGTGGCATCTGCTGGTGACACAGGTTGCTGAGCGAGTGCTCGTTCCAGTCACAGCATTAGACTATGCATCTAGCATATGATTGCGCACTTGCGGCAAAGTCAGTATAGTATGCGGGCTCTTGTGTCTCTTGCTTTGTGTTTGTGTAACTGTTCTGTCTCCGTTTTGGCTGAGTGAGAGTTGCAAACCAAGACGCTGTTGGTACGCTGTCCCTCATGTTAACTTAAGTTTGACTTAGGCACCGTCACATACAAGAGAAGTGATTGGGGACAACAGGCGATTAGCGAGTGGTGTGATTTACTACTGCTACCGACGTTGATATCATTGAGATGTTGGTGTTGGCAGAGCAAATGATCAATTGTATTGCTTCGTACAACATATGGAACAGGCGAAGGAGAAGCCCTTTGCCGGTTGGGACATGTTTCCCATTCGGCAAATAGAAACAAGGAATTCATTTTAGTAAAGATTTGACACAATTTCGGAGGGTAATGAGACTCTCACTGATTCCTCTACTTGCGGTCCTGAAGTATATATATATCGCATTTCTTCCCACTTCCATCCTCCCACCTCTTTCGTTTCTTTAAGCGGTTGTCATGCCCCTGACTTATATATACTCAAGTATATGGTCATATAAGCTTACAGAAAGGCAATTTACCTTTCCCCATTAGTCTATATTCATCACATTGGCACTTGATCTCGTATCTGGCGTTGTGCTGGCGCAGTAGAACCGCCGATTTCGTAACGTATGTCTAAGAACTGACAATGACTATAGGAAATCGCAGACGAGGCTCTTGTGTATCACTTGAATATGAGAAGGAAGCACTTACCTTTGTTATAATAGAGCACGTTGTCTCTTGTCCCTATGTCAAAGTGCCCCATGGCATCTTTCCTCTTCGTGGGTGACAACAAGCAATTGCGGCTTTTCGTCACGATTCCCGATAGTAAAGGCTAGTAGTCGGTATGATGAAGCCATTGAGACGGCGATGACGATACGAATATGGAGGGGCATCAATGCGTTCTAGTATAGATCAAGTGGGTGAAGAGCGAGCCTGCGGCTAAGTCTGCCACCCGGGGCACACACGTGCTTTCGGACCTTGGCTGGCCGGATCACGTTGACTGGATATCTTTACTTGTCGGTGAGATGAAATTACCTCATCTCACTATTTCCTTCATGTGTGCCTGTCATCCTGCGAGTATATATAAAAAGGGTATGATTCTAGCATGCAACAGTCCCAAAAGTAAGATTGCGCTGGCTAATGTATCAGCGCACATGTACAAAGAAGGCCTGAAATTTCTCTCAACTGGACAAAGATCCCTCCTGGAATTGAAAAATGCATGCCTCTCTTGTTGCGTGGTGATGATGTCTTCAGCCACAGACTCTCAGTCCTGGGAATCTTGGAAAGCTGTAAGAGACAGAGGAAGCAACGCATTGTTGGGCGTATGGACTTGATCTGAAACCACCCGAAAGCCCAAAGCTCCCTTACCTCGAGCCCCTTCGCAGCCCTACAAGAAGCAAGATATGTCATGCATCTTGATTCCAGCCCTGGAAGACGGTGGCCACCAGGCACTGAGTTTCACGATGTAGGTCCCAGAAAGAAGACACGACAGCCGCACCAAAGGTCTTTCCCACGAGGTATCGACTTGTCACCCAAAAAGCTCCTGACCGTGGGGGTCAAAGCATGGTGTATATTTCCAGAGATGCTGGCACGCTAGGACCCAAGAGCTAGTTCCGAAGCATTGGCTCTGGAACCAGGTATTTTTGGGGGATATATACGCGAAGGGAGTTTCGATCCTGACTTGAGAGACGCTGGAGGTTTTTCTGCCGGGGATCTACGGTGATGATCAACCCACTGAGGATGCACTATCAGCGACACCAACGCCTAACGTAACCACTCAGACAATAGGCAGCTATACCATTACAGGAGCCAATCTGATCGGAATGGGCACATGTGTTCGGGTCAAGCCAGCGACGGGGCCACAAGGGAATGTCGTTGTTATTAAGACTATGGTACCAAACCGCGGCAACTTGGAGTTTGTTCGATCTAAGGTGTATATGGTCCGATCACTTTCAAGAATGTTGGAGAGAGAGCATCAGAAGAATGTGTTGACATGTATCTCTGTGATGCACATGGAAGGCAAAGTTGATGAGTTTCACTTAGTCCTTGAACCTTTTGTTGAGAATACTCTAATGGTTTTGCCGAAGCAGAGTCAAACACAGTAAGATCGACCCTACTGCACGGGAACAGACTGGGCACTAATACTTGAGAGCTGGACGAAATTGGAAATTATACTCCGCGATTGTCTCCAAGGCCTCAGTTTTCTTCACGCCCATAACTTTGTCCATACAGACATCAAACCACCTAATATCGGCCTCAAAAACCTCACCCGTTCCGTCGTAAGCGAAACAGCCTCCTGCCCCCCTCCTGCCCCCCTCCAGCACGTCGCCTAACAGCCGTCATCCTCGACATCGACTCCATCATCCCAATCCCTGCGAACGGAACAACAATACCTGCTCAGCCCGGCACCAACGGGACGATTGGTTTCCACTCGCCCGAACAGGAAAGGACGGAGTTTGACGGCACAGCTGATATTTGGGCATTGGGAATTTGTATGTATAGAGCTGTATTTGGGGAGTTGCCGTGGCGGTTTGGGGCACTTGGCAACCCATGGAATAGCATGAGGGATGGGAGAGGAATCGAGGAAATATCTTTCCATGAGAAGTATAGTGTTGCGGTGAGAAAGGTCGGGGAGAAGAGGTGCGATGAGATGGGTAAGTATTTTCTCTTGCGGCACATGAATTGAGTTCACTGGGATGCTAAGACAAACACTGACTATTGTAGCTGCACTGTTGGACTTTATTATTGATTCATTCCGTTTTTCGGAAGCGGCCATTGACAGCCAGAAACAGCCACGGCCGAGTAGCGTAGATTGTCTCAGAACTCTCATCGGGAAGTCCGAGTTTCTCAAGATGAGAGCCAAATGGGAAGAAGAGACAGGTGAGCCGCCAGAGCCAACAAATGTCGGTTCAAAGCGGCCAGCGGGACAGTAAACTGTCAGTGTTTAGGGTGAAGATATTCCATAATCAGATGCAGAGTAGTTCTTCATTTCTGATATAAGTATGCTTATACCGTTTGCTCCAGGCCACCTGGACATAAAGTGCACTCAGTTGCAACAAGTTACTTTACCGAAATAGCTACCAGAAGTGACAATGCGTGAGTGATTTGATGCATCACTCTTCTACTGAATTCAGCAGACCTCCTCGAAGTCTTACATCACCGTTGGTGGAAGGTAATCTCATACCCCCAGTGAACAGAAATGCATCGAGAGAAAATGCTCTCACCAGAGAAGCAGGGATGAATCAGACCTGGCCAACGAGAAGCAAGGACTCACCCAGCTGATAGTGTACATACCACCACCGTAAAGGGCATCCACGAAGAGTCCTCCCATAACTTGCTGTGACCTCTCAGTATTCGAGACGCTTGCATGCATGTAGAATTGGAAGCCACTGAACATATGACTACGGGAAGTCTTCAGCCCTGGCCAAGAAGGTTCTCTGTTCGCTTGTTTGCCCAAGGCCGCAATAGCGGCAGTGGGGTGCTTCGTCGCTGACTGAGATGTTGTATAGAGCAACTGATGTGATTCTTCACCAAGAGCCTGTTGGGAAACCTTTAGAATACTGACAGCAAACTTGGATGAGTATAGCCAGAGCCAAGGCCTGCCTGCCTGAGTCCTCATTGCTCTGGCACAAATCTTAGTACTGGAGAGAAGCCTTGTCGACACGTCTAATTTCGCAGATTGTCTGGGTCTAAGGATGTGATCAACAAGAAGATGCTCTCCAGATTCGCGTTTCGCAATAAGGTGGTGGGCGTAGTCCAGTGGCAACAAGTTCACAAGGCTTTCGAGACTAAGGGGTCAAGGCGCTCGCAGTAATTCCATCAAAAAGAACGCAGCAACCGACCGATCTGCATTCGAACCAGACTTGAGATATGTTGGGATCTCCATGGTCGGCTTGGAACAACGCAAACGTAGTATTGACGTTAGGGAGAAACGGTCTTCTGATGGCATTCTCCTCTTGGATTAGTGGGGCGTTTGGTCGGATGGGGTTAAAACTTGGAGAGGAACTATGCCTTCTGTCTCAAATCTGGGATGGGCTTTGAAGGGTAGATTCATAAAGTCGGCGAAGGCATAGTTGGGGCGGGAACTTCGAGGGTTATGAGGGATCGTCGACCTTGATCATAAGGGGGAGTGTGCCAATGCTAGCTATTCGGACAGCATAGGTCAGCGGTAATGCAACTGGAATGATATAAGAATAGAAACATGATGGAATCCTGACTGCCCAGCGTGATGAGAAGAATACAAACCGAGCCCCCGGCTTACCAGCTGCCGCCAAGTACTTCCGACAAAGAGAGAAGTGTTCATCTGTATAGTTTTGCTGCAACAAGAATGCCTCTGAGGGCAAAGAGGAGTGTTGCAAGGCCCTGATGGAGTAGTGACGTTAATAATTGAGAGAGTGTGTCTCGGTATGAGATCGC